AATATACCTGACCAGTATCTGTTCATCAAATTAGGCACAGAAAAGAGCCAAAGGAAACAAACCCCTTTTACCCATTTTGCCAGACTCTGTCATTTATATTTCTCTGAAGTCCCTCATTCTTTGTATTCTCGGTTCCTATAATCCTGTTTCTATATATATTTTCACTCCCCATGATTTTGACAGTCCTTTATATCTCCCTGGAATTTGATTTTGCATTCTAATCTGAGTTTGGTTCAGCTTTCTGATTTTGGTATCTCTTCTATTTTTGTAGAAGCATATACAGACACTATTTACTTTTGTTTGCTGAGGTTGAAATATAACTGAGGTTATACATAAACTGAAAAAAAAAATAGGTCTCAAATGTAATCAATCTCTCAAAAACCAGCCACCATCATGGTTTAAAATAGAAAAAAAAACAGAAAAAAGGAAAGTATTTAATATAATATGTATGAATGAATTCAGTAATGAATAAATTCTAATATGCAATTTATGCAAATGTATAAAGATCAAATAGATTTGAAAGCTACCTTTACATTTTTAGAATTTTAATTCTAATCTAGCTCTAGTATTTGGAGTCACTGCATATAGATCATCCTAACTGCTTCACCTTATCATAAGAAAAAGGAGAAATTAATAACAGTGAAAACTACTCCTAAAATAGTAAAATTTAAGAAGACAACTAAAGACTGCATATGGAAGAAAAAATCCATAAAATCTTTTTGTTGATTTTATTGAGTCTAATTCCCCAAGACACAGCATGCATTCAACCTGGCGTACAAATGAAATAGGTCTCTGAGTAACAAAAGAAAGTCCATTTGGTTATTTACTTACTCAAATATATAATGAGAACCAACAATACACTTTCAGATAGAACACCAAGAGATTGAAATATTGGGCAATTGAGAGCTCTAGAAATGTAAACAGATCCCTGCAAGTTGCCCAAGTTAGATTAATTTTTATTCTAGCTGTACCACTTCTCACTCAACTCTTTCCTTCTATAGTGAAGTGCCAACCTGTGTCTTAACTTCATTAGTAATTTTTAATCACCTTAAGGTCCTGTCCAGCAACATAACTAAAGTTAGTATTATCAAAATAATAACAATCCACTGGCATAAAATATTCATGTCTGCTGAGTCTTAGAACTAACGTATAATCCCACACACCACCACTATCTCACTGTCACCCACTGTCAACAGATCAACATGTAATATAATTGATTTCCTTCTAAAAAAAAAAAAACCCGGCCCTCCCTGGTGGCGCAGCAGGTTAAAGCACAGCACTGAGAATCTGAAGCCACTTCCGCATGAGTTCGATTCCTGCCTGCCGCCTGCCCCGGAGGAGACCACATGGCGAGCCAGACCTCTCCTGGCCCGCCCGCTGCTTCCCTTAGCAGTGTACTTCGTAGATCTGCCTATTCTGCTCCCCACTCTGTCTCTGGTGAAGCCTCTCACCGCCCCTGAGCCTCTGGCCTGTACCCCAGTTCTGTATGCACAAATAAATAAATAAATCTTTAAAAAAAATAAAAATTAAATAAAAAAAACCCTCTATTCTCTATTCTTCAGAGTGTTTTGTTTTTTTTCCCCTTCATAAGAATTTCTTAATCATTTTGATCATCAGAGAACTTGAGCTAGACTCAATCAGTCCTGGAGGTATGGCAAAATCAGTGAAAAGACATCTTAGAAAAGTAGACTTCTACGCTATAAAAGACTTAGAATATTCTCTGGGATATGTTATGATTTGATGAATAAAAACCTGGTTTTGGAAAATGGTCAGATGTGGATTTAGGCACAAAGATTATAATGAGACAAATTTGTTCCTGAATATTTACATTGATTTTTAGAAGAAACCTATATTTAGAAAAAAAGACCTTTTACAATAGGCACCCAGTCAGATAAATTTAGTATGTGTTTCATTTTATTCAATGTCAAAGAAGCTTTTTCTTTATTACATGGTATATATTATACAATAATTTCATTCACTCTTATATCATGTAGCATTGTGCTAGGCATTATACCAGGGGTTTGGGATAAACAAGTAACTAAAACAGACACATAATCTGCCTTCCTAGTGCTTAAGGTGAGTAAGGGATACTAACTATAATGTATTCAAAGTGTAAGGATATATGATGACCCCACAGAAGTGACTAGAGAAGAATGGTATTAGTACATATCCGAGGCATCCCAAAGATGTCCCTACTCTAATTTCAGAAAGCCAGGTTTATGGCAAAAAGAACTGTGCAAATATAATTAGTAAGTTCAGGGACTTGATACACAATGATTAGAGTGCACCATCTGAGTATGCAGCAGGACATAGAAAAATACATACATGCTTTGAGTGCCTTCCTTATATTTGATATAGATAATTTTTAGACACCTCCCTCCCTTTATGAAAAAGTCACTTATCAATATGAATCAGAAAGAATTATTTCTCTGATTTGTCTTTAACTCCAGAGCACTTGATAAGTTCCAAATAGAATATATTTTAAAGTTATTAATACAAAGTCAGTAAAATATGACATTTGTGAGCATCACAGGCATAAAATTTGCATTAATCTAACAAAAAATATTACCTCTCACAATTCATAATGCTTCACTGTTGTAATTTTTAAACATAAATGTAAATAAAACTCTACATTATCACATAAAATAACAGAATGGAAGTGAGTTCATTTCTAGTTCTTTATCTTTACAATTACTGTGTCATCATTGTTTAATTTTCATCCATTGTTATAAAGCCTGAAGAGCGTAATTTTTATTAAAGGATAATCATAAATATATGTTCATTTGAGTCACTCATGCATACTATTAAAACTCAACAATAACTACAATAATTGTTAAAACTTAAAAAATCTTGCAAAAAGCATTTTATCATTGATGTCTAGAGTTGCTAGTGTATAGTGACAGTAAAAAGCAAAATGAATTTTACTTAGTTCTGTTACTGTTGATAAATATCTGGAAACAAATACCTTCTTACTGATTTCACCCAAGACAGAATGCTTCATCACATCATAATTAGTATGCATGGTTTTTAGCCCCAAGTTGGAGAATGACCTGTCATCCTAATTCTCACACACTTCATGCTTACTAAATGCACGACCAACTCCAAGGCCCTATAACCAAAAGCACAGGGCACCATCTCCAGAAATTATCCTCATGCTTGACTTTCATGCTCTGCTACTGCAATCCTGAAATTTTTCACGACTTTACCTTTGAATTTGTGGAAATAAGTGTAGTTCAATGGAGCAATGAAGCATATGCCCTGGACTTTCATGCCTTCCTGCTTTCCAGAGGCTTCCAGGGACAGATCCCAGCCACCTGCCTCCCCTACCTCCATTCCCGGTGGGAACCTAAGCATAGTCAGTGGAGGTCAGGTTCATGGATCAAGTCCACAGACCTGCCAGGCTCTGCATGCTTCCACAGTTATCCATATGCCTGACAGAAACTGACAATAGCTAGCATATAAAAACTGCCTCTCACTGATCCATCGAGACTGTGAAAGGAAAAGCTTCCTGCCCCATCACCACCTCACATTATGAATGAAGCCTTGGATTTTCATTTTGCATTGGGCTCTACAAGTATGAAGCCTACCTGACTATGTATGTATGAGTATGTGCATCTATTTGTGTTTCCATCTAGGAGAGTATTTTTGATAAAGTAAGTTTGTCCGTTTATAATTTACAGATAGTTACATGGAGCTTTACAGTACTTTTACCTACAATGATGAGAATAATAATTTTACGAGTTTAAATCAGGTGAGAAGAAATACTTAAAAATCTGCTTTACATTTTGATCTCTTGACAGGCAAGAGATTTTGGTCAGGTCCCAAAGTCATCAATAGTAATAGTATGAAGATACATCAAGTGGGGTAAAAGGTCTACAAAACTAATTTTTAGCAATTTTCAATTATTCATATAAATTATTTATATCAGGAAAATTTGAGTCTTCAATTTTACACCCATGATGTCACATGCTTTGTAATAATTTTCAAAACATACTTTCATAATTCTTGTATTTCATTAATAATAAAGTAGAGGAAAACAATATTCCTATTAAAAATTTTTTTTCAGCTCTATTATTTAAGGAAACTTCAGGATCAATATATAGCAATGTTTTTAGATGTTTTTCACAATTTTAAAAATAGCACAAATTTAATATAATATGTATGAATGAATTCAGTAAT